TCTCAAACTTCTTCACAGAAATATGCATTGAGCTAGAGTTCACTTGGACTCATTATCATCAGGCCCAAATCTTTTCTTTTGAATTCATTTATTTGTCCACAAATGGATATTGGGCCAGAGTCATTGGGATTCATTAGTAGGCCCAAATCTTCCTGATTCTAGTGTGTTTAATTGATTGAATGCTTAAATTGCTTTGGGCCAGATTCATCTAGATTCAGTCAGGCCGAAGTCCCTTTAGATTTAAATTCATTAACTGTTGAGTAATAGACAATATATATCTTGGGTTAGAGTTCATTTGGACTCAGTCCTTGTTAGGCCCCAAACTTTAAAATCTGGGCCTGTTTGGCAGTTAATACACAAGCTGCCCCATTTGATTAAATAAATGTCTCACATAGTTTTGGAACCTTTACACCTAGCTACATGACATAGGGTACTTAGTTTAGAGACATAATCACAACTTTATGTACACTTTAAATTGGATTAATTATTACAATTATGTACACGCGTGCGTGACATAGTTGTGATGCCCAAGATAAACCAAGGTATACGTTCGCGTGACCATGGTCAAACATTTAGTAAATAAAGCGCCTTAATCAAACACTCGTAGAAATGCTTTAGGCGCGAGTTTTTAAATTGCTATCATGATTACGTTTCTTTCAAATAAATTCAAAGTATGTGTTCGCGCAACTTTGACCAAACCTTTTTCTTAAATAAACTAAGTGTTAGGAATTGAGTATTTGTACGCGTAACTCATCTTAAGTTAATTTTTTAAATACGGATTATCAAGTGATTAATAGCGGTAAAAGGTAAAAACAAACATAGGTCCTAAAATGAGTAATTAGAAAAAATAGGCCAAGTATAAATTGCTACGCGACCGTTCTAAAACTATGAAATCCGGGAATGCCTAATACCTTCTCCCGGGTTAACAGAATTCCTTACCTAGTCTTTCTAGTTTCGCAGACTTTAAACGAAGTCAAATTTCCCTCGATTTGAGATTTTAAAATAACCCGGTGACTTGGGACACCATAAATTATTCCAAGTGGCGACTCTGAAATTAAATAAATAATCTCACATCGATTAATGTCACTTAAATTGGAAAAACTCCCTTATACCCCCTCGGGAAAAAGGAGGTGTGACACCTCTGGCGACTCTGCTGGGGAAAAGAACCCAGAACTTCTGCTTCAGGGTTCAAGAATTCGAGCTTGTTAATGTGATTTTTACTTGGCTTTATTAATTGTTGATATTACTGTATTTTGTGGGCCTAATGTGTTAATTGCCGCTTTTTTACCGCTTTGATATTATTTGAACTGTATTAAAACTATCTTCTTACGCCTCCCTTCTGAGTCTTCTAAAAAATGGTGCACACGTTCGCGTGGCCCGCTTTTCTGTTAAAGGTCGTATCAAATAGAACGAGGATGGATCAGCCACTAGGCCAGGTAGACTTTCGTGCTCCCGGTACGTCGCTCCCACCTCAGCTCAAGTTGTCCGTTTGGGTAAGCCAGATTAGAACACAACACCAGGTTTAAACCTAGAATAACATAACCTCATGCCGGATCCCTAGTAGGAACGTTTGTTTGCATCACGTGCACTTGACTTTGGGGACTCAACACAGGGGTTGGGTCCGTCTAGGACAGGTGTACCCGAAATGAAAGACCATCCTGATGCATCTTACGTGCTATTTGTACATTTATTTGCTTCGGCTTGTATGTTGGCTGGCTAAGGAAAGAAAAACAACAGAAAAATCAAGAGTGAGGTAGGATAAAGAATTCACCCGGTTCTGAAAACCCCGGTATTTGAAAATGCCTCGAAACTCTGCCAAATTTTTTGAAAAAAAGAGATAGAAAGAGAAGATGTATTTCAAAATGAAACTGAGTCAATATCATATTTTTCCAATTATGCCAAAACTGACCGAATTACGCGGGTCTGATTCTCACCGGATGTGAGATATGTAGGCAAACCTCATCGGTACCGACCCCAATTTTTTCAAGCCAAATAAATAAAATATGTCCATTGGTTAAAAAATAAAGCCGACCCAATTTCGGTTAAGTCTTGCGCCGTTTTTACCGGAATAGCCTTAGGACACCTTACATTGTCGAAGGGCTATTTTCGCTAAGAACGGACATGTCTGTCAATAAATCATCACTTCTCCCAGAAAAGTGCCTTACTTCGGCCTCAAACTTTACCCAAAGTAAGAAGGGGCCACTATTGCAAAAATAACCATTCTGGTTAATGTTGTACAAATAGCCACTTTTAAGGTGATTTCTCTTTGAAAATTGAAAACTAGTTCCTGCAAAAAGAGTCCGCTGGTCTGTCTTCCAAACTAGAGTCAACCTTAACCCTACCCGTTCACAGGTACAGAATGAATACCGTCCAGAATCCACCGTTAAATGTCGTAGAACAAGCTCCACTACAACTTCAAATGTGGTGGTATGATTTGGACCAAGAAGGGCAAGACTGGGTCGTTGAACATCTGGGTGCTCTCACGGATATCATGAAAGTCAAGCCTCGGAATGATCTAATCAAGGCTTTTGTGACTTTTTGGCATCCCGTTCGCAATGTCTTTTGCTTCTCGGACTTCGAGCTTACTCCCACCCTAGAAGAGATAGCTGGGTATACAAGTTTCGGCAGGGACTTAAGAAATCAAAAGCTTATATTCCCGAGGCCTATGTCAGTGCGCCGTTTCTTTGATACTATGAACATCAGTAAGCAAATAAGAAATAACCGTATAAGCGAGGTCTACTTCCTGTACTCCAGGTATGGGCATCCAGAGGGGTTTGAAACGCATGAAAAAGGGTTGATCAACAAGCAAAGCAAAGATACTTGGAAAATTCATCGTCGCTTTGCCTTTATAGTAGCATTTCTGGGCGTCATGGTCTTCCCAAATGAAAAAGGGACAATTGATATCCGTATGGCTAGAATTGTGCAAGTCCTAACTGCCAAGGAAGATCACACACTTGCTCCACTAATCTTGTCGGATATCTACCGGGCACTGACACAGTGTAAGTCGGGGGCGACATTCTTCGAAGGTTGCCATATCCTTTTACAAATGTGGTTAATTGAACTCCTTCGCCATCATCCAAAATTCATGAACTACGGCCCAAACAAGAGCAACTTCATTGAAAGCTATGAAGAAAGAGTGAAAGATTACGACTCTCTGGAAGGGGTTAAAGCTTGGATTTCCACTTGAGAACTTTAAAGGCAAATCAAATTGAGTGGACTTTAGGATGGCTCCCAGTGAGGGAAGTCATATACATGTCAGCTATAAAGAATTATTTTCTATTCATGGGTTTGAAGAGTGTCCAACTCTATGCGCCCCAGAGGGTTCTGAGGCAATTAGGAAGATATCAAGTGGTGCCCGAGGATGAAGACTTGAGTGTCCAAGTCATGAACTACACCCCGAAGCTCCGATTCCCGAGTCTTTAGTCCAACAAATCTGGGATGTTTTCCGATACTTGAAAGAGGATACCCAAGTGCCCGACCTTGCAAAAGGTGAAGTAGATCCAGGCTATGCCACATGGTTTGAGAAAAGGGGTTGCATTAATGATGAGCCAAAACCCGAACCTGAAAGGCCCGCCAAAAGGCCTCATATCCAAGCTTTCGATGATAAAGCCTGGGAGCGGTTGGCCTGGGGAGAAAAGTAAAAGAAATATCAAGCCACCGTCCATGCCTTAAAGGAAAAGTTGAGGAACCTCGTATTTGACAATGACTTACAGGCATGTGGTCGAAGGTGAAAAGAGGAAATTGACCCGAGAGAACGAGGCGCTCCGAGCCCAACTCCGAGACATGAGGATAGCCGCCAAAACGCCTGTGAGAAGCGAGAAGGATGGAAAGCTCATCAACAACCTAAGATTGAAGGTACATGACTATGCAACTGACTTGACAAAGGCCGAAAGAGATTTTCCATATGCTCAAACAAAGTCGGCTAAATTAGCCCCTCAGTTGAAGCAGAAATATGACCAAGAAGTAACAGTTCTGAAGAAAAAGCTGTTTGCCCTTGAAAATGAAATGGTCCAGCAAACCAAAGATTTAAGACAAAAAAAAGAGCATTGCTACGCATTAATTTGCCAACTAGAAGAAAGCGTGCAACAACTACAAGACCAAAACAACACGGACGCACAAGTGTTGGAAGCCCGGGCACAGCAAATCGGGCGTCTACTTCAAGAAAAGGGAATTATCAGAACAAGGATCAAGGAGATAGCTGACTATGTCGTGATGAAATGTCACGAATATGAGGACATGACTAGGTCTATGTTTTTTGCTACCATGATGACCTTCGTTCGCCAGGTGATGGATGACTTAGACCGTCTTCAAGAAGATATTGCCCAAAGGCCCGCGCAAAGACCGGCTAATGTCCTGCAGGCTCCCAGAGTACCAGTAGAAGCTCTTATGTACTTTTAAGTTTTCAGTTTTGAATCTGTACTTTACTTTTTAAGCTGTGTTGTTGTTTATTTCGAGTCTATACTTTTCCTTTAATAGCCGTCAGTCCTTTTAAGTCCCTGTAATAGAAAAACTAAAAAGATTTTGTTTAATGAAAAATTGAATACCCCCAAAATTTTCTTGTCTCTTATTCCGCATTTATTTTCCTGAACTAAGTAATGATCTGATTCATGCGGCGTCGTGATACGTAGGCAATCCTCATCGGATTCGATCATAGCTATAGACAACCTGAGTAAAAAAAAAATAAGGGAGAGAAAAGAAAAATCAAATGAAAAAAGAGCGAGGAAATAAAAGAGCAAAAGAAAGAAAAGATTCAGGATTTGAAAGTTGATAAAAGAAATAGCAAGGCCGGGATGAGACATGCAGCCGTTGCAAACATTTAGACACATTTACTGTTCAGGTGCATTGCATCCCCCAATATGCAATTCCCTATGTGTTAAATGTCACGAACTAACCGGTTTATTGTGTATGCTATTAAGAACATGTTCTATTTTTAAGTGGTTGGTTTTTTTGGTAATCTGGCTTCACACCCTTATTTCACGAGATCTAAAGGAAGTATCGCCATGACATCAGGAAGTCACCTACCTATTATTGAGCCCGAAGATAGCCCGACATCGGTTATCCCACAACCAGAGCCAGCGGCTGCCGAGGAAAATAGAAGGCTACGGCGCCATGTGTTAGAAATGTGGGACGCATGGTCCAATGGCAGGGAGCCACCTAGTGCTATCCCTGGATTCCCCGAATTGATCCCCAGTATGGGAGGAACTACCAATGTCCCTATCCCACTAACCAACCCATTCATCCCATTTGGGTACCCCACCATGTTGGCTAATTTCACCGGTACGCCTTCTGAGGTTCGCCCCCAGGCACCGTTTTCAGGAATAGCATCTACAGTGTTCACACCACCGCCAGCCTCTACTATGGCGCAACCAACACTACCTCGACAAAGCTTTGAACCATCAACTTTCACTTTCCAAACACCCCAATTTCAATTGGACTCCGCTCGGGTTACCTCAAATTCCTATCCTCAGCACCCACAATGTGAGTCTCCCATAGAACATGAGAAAGCCGTGAGGAATCCTGAACAAGAAGAGATAGCACAAAAAATGAAAAGTATCGAGAAAAGCCTCAAGAATATGCAGGGCCTGAGTGGCCACAAGAGCATTTCCAATGCTGATCTATGCATGTTCCCTCACGTGCATTTACCCGTTGGCTTTAAGACGCCAAAGTTCAAAAGATATGACGGGCATGGAGACCAGATCGCTCACTTAAAGTGATACTGTAACCAGCTGAGAGGTGCTGGTGGAAAAGAGGAGCTACTAATGGCTTATTTCGGAGAAAGCCTTGCTGGAATTGCTTCTGAGTGGTATACGGACCAAGATATCTCCCATTGGCACATATGGGACGACCTGGCCCAGGATTTTGTAAGGCAGTTTCAATATAATGTGGACATTGCTCCCGACAGGAATACTTTGACCAACTTCAAAAAGAAAGCCTCGAAAAGTTTCCGGGAATACGCTATCAAATGGCGTGAACAAGTGGCCAGGGTAAAACCACCGATGGATGAGGCCGAGATGGTCAATGTCTTCTTACAGGCCCAAGAGGCCGATTATTTTCAAAACATGATGTCTGCCATGGGCAAATCGTTCGCGGAGGCCATAAAGATTGGAGAAATGGTAGAAAACAGCCTGAAAACAGGCCGCATCATAAGTCAATCAGCTATAAGAGCCACTTCCCAAGCCATCCAGAGCGGCTCGGGAGGTTTAGCAAACCGGAAGAAGAAAGAAGAAGGAGCCATGATGGCTTCAAGATTGAGAAACTCTCATCAACCCCGGGATTACTTTAGTCCCTCTTCCAGGATCCCGCAGCATTACTACCCCCACCAGGATGCAGCATATGCTATGGCCCCGCATCCTTTTGCGGTAATGAACAACCAACCATACGCACAGCAACATCAACATTATAACCAAAACAGAGCTCCACCTCCAAGAGATAACCCTCCTAGCCAAGCTCCGTATAATCCTCACCCACCACAGAACAATTACCAATATAACACACGCCCTCGTGAACCACCCAAGAAGGCTGACTTCACCCCTATTGGTGAGTCTTATTCCAGCCTATTCCCGAAGTTAGTCCAAATGGGTTTGTTGCAGCCTGTACCTCTAAACAGACAGAATTCGGAATCTCCATCTTACCGACCAGGTACCAGGTGCGCTTATCACTCAGGGGCGGAAGGGTATGACACTGAAGATTGTTGGACCCTTACAAGAGCGATCGAGAATCTGATAGAATAGAAGCGGGTAGTGCTAAGTGATGAGGAAGACCCTAATAACCAACAACCCGTTACTAGCTCACAACAACGGGCCAGTCATCAGGATGATCTGTGAGGACAAAGAATTTGACCCAGCATTAAAAGCTATCATTGCCATCGCCGACCCAGAAAAGAAACCCAAAGCGGTGGCAAAACAGGCTAAAAATGAGAAGAAGATAAATTTCACTCCCCAAAATGTAGAAAAGGCGGTAGAAACAAAGACAGGGGCAGCATCTGCCAAAGATGTCGTTCTTTACGTTCCTAGGGCCCCCAGGAAGGAACAGCTCATGCTGAGCCCTCCTAAAAGATTTGAACAGAAGAAAGCCACACTGAACGTGCCAAAGATGTATGTACCAAAAGGGACTTACGTAGTGTGAAGACCGATAATTCCACCCAGGCTGGATGAGCCTGTGATCATCAGCCGCGCACCGCAGAAACCCATAAGAGACCCAACTGTTGTCCCTTGGAATTATAATAAAATAGTGGTCACATACAAAAGAAAGGAAGTTGTGGGAGAAGTAAATGAAACAAACCAATCTGGGAAGTATCATAACCTAGAAGAATTAAACAAAGCAAAGCAGAAGCGGTTTCCACTCAAGAAGCCGATTAGCGCTGAAGAAGCGGAGGAATCTTTCTGGAAGATGAAAACCTCGGAGTATGCTATGATTGATCAACTTAGAAAGACTCCCTCCTAGGTTTCACTTTTGTCCTTGCTGATAAGCTCAAATGCACATCAAAAAGTGCTTCTAAAGACATTGAATGAGGCGTATGTTCCAATTGAGACCATGGTTGAACAGTTGGAAAGAATGGCAAAACAGTTTTTCGAGGTCAACTGAATCTCCTTCAGTCGAAATGACTTGCCTCTAGAAGGAGCCGCCCACTACAAAGCCCTTCACTTGACTATCAAGTGTGAAGGATATTATGTGAAAAGGGTTATGTTAGACGGAGGATCTGGAGTTGAAATTTGCCCTCTATCAACATTACAAAGGATGGAAATTGGGACTGAAAGGATTAGACGCAACAATGTTTGCGTACGTGCTTTCAACGGTGTCAAACGGGATACTATAGGGGAGATTGACTTGGTCCTAACTATTGGCCCCGTAGATTTTGAAGTAATATTTCAAGTTCTTGACATGGACGTTTCCTATAACTTTCTCTTAGGAAGACCATGGATCCATGCCGCGGGAGCCATGCCCTCTACTCTCCACCAAATGGTCAAGTTCGAACATGAAAACCAAGAAATAGTTGTCCACGGAAAAGATGAACAGTCAATCTACAGGGACCCGTCTGTCCCATGCTTGGAGGCTAGAGAGGGTAGTGAACACATCGTCTACCAAGCCTTTGAAATCGTGGTCGCCGACCAGTGCGAGGAAGGAACCCCATGTCCTCAACCCTACTTGTCAAACGCATCAATCATGGTTTCCAGCGAAATGATCAAACATGGGTACAATCCCGGGAAAGGGCTCGGGGTATCCTTACAAGGCATTACAGAACCTGTCACTTTGACTGTCAGCGAGAAGCTCTTTGGCATAGGCTTTCAAGCTACCGAGGCCGACGTAAAATGGGCCAATGAACGTAAGAACAATGGGTGGGCCCTGCCTCAGCCAGTCCCGCACCTCGCCAAGTCGTTTGTTAAGCCAAGGTATATAGAAGAAGAAGAGGCCTTCACGGCCGAAGAAATTGAAGACATCTGTGGGGCAATGAGACAAATGCTGTACGAGGTTCACATGGTCCAACCGGACGAAGGCTCAAGCACTGCTGAGGTGCAATATATGGGGTCAAATGCTAAACTTCAAAATTTGAAGGCTACTCCATACCCAGTCAGGCGGGAATCCCGGTAGTTCAGTCTTGCCATCTTTTCTGCATTCCGAGTTATTTCAGGGTGTAACTCGAATGTTTTTAGTTTGTTGTCTTTTAAAATCCGATGTAAGCCCTCCTATCTTCAAATTCAATGAAATGAAATCAATATTTCATCGTCTATATCTCTTTCTATTATTCTTTCTGATTCTGTAATTTTTCTTATCTTTCTATTTTCAGTTCTAATAATGCGGACTTAAATAACATGACATGCTTGCGGAAATTATGCCCAGATCCTAACACGCTGTCTAACTATGAAATAATGAATCAAGAACCAGAATACGATGAAGATGAGGCTTTTAGGGAAATAAATCGAGAACTCGAACAATTTGAGAATAAACCTAAGCCAAACTTAAATGAAACCAAGCCAGTCAATTTGGGTAGTCCAGAAGAGATCCGGGAAACCATGATAAGCATTCACGCCAATGAAAGCACTAGTGATGCATTGATCCAACTTTTGTTCGAATTCAAAGACATGTTTGCATGGTCCTATGATGATATGCCGGGACTGAGTGTTGATTTGGTAGTACATAAATTGCCAACTTATCCTGGTTGCCCACCTTTCCAACAAAAGCAGAGAAAGTTTAAGACGGACATCAGTGATAAGATCACGGAAGAAGTCACCAAATAGTTAAAAGTTGGTGTGATCCGAGTGGTCCGATACACCACATGGTTGGCTAATGTGGTCCCAGTACCCAAGAAGGACGGGAAAACCCGAGTGTGTGTTGATTATCGGGATTTGAACAAAGCAAGCCCAAAGGACAACTTTCCATTACCGAACATCCACATTCTTGTCGACAATTGTGCCAAACATGAGATACAATCTTTCGTGGATTGTTACGCTGGGTACCACCAGGTTCTAATGGATGAAGAAGATGCAAAAAAGATAGCCTTCACCACACCCTGGGGCACCTACTGTTATCGGGTCATGCCGTTTGGTTTAAAGAACGCCGGGGCAGCTTATATGAGAGTTATGACTGCCATCTTCCATGACATAATGCACCAGGAAATTGAGGTGTATGTGGATGATGTAATTATTAAATCCACAACGCAGGACGACCATGTGCGGGATCTGAGAAAGTTCTTCGAGCGGCTGCGTAAGTATGACTTAAAGTTAAATCCAGCTAAGTGTGCATTCGGAGTTCCTTCTGGGAAACTTCTGGGGTTTATAGTCAGTCGGAGGGGCATCGAGTTAGATCTAACAAAGATAAAGTCTATTCGGGATTTACCACCTCCGAGAACCAAGAAAGAGGTCATGAGTCTGTTGGGAAGATTGAATTACATCAGCAGGTTCATTGCTCAGCTGACTACCACATGTGAGCCCATATTTAAGCTGTTAAAGAAAGACGCGGCGATTAAATGGACGGATGAGTGTCAAAAGGCTTTTGATAAAATCAAAAAATATCTGTCAAATCTGCCGGTGTTGGTTCCGCCTGAGCCTGGAAGACATTTGTTCTTGTACTTGACAGCCTTGGAGAATTTTTTTGGTTGTGTTATCGGGCAACATGATGTGACCGGGAAGAAAGAACAAGCCATATACTACTTGAGCAAGAAATTTACTGGTTACGAAGCCAAGTACTGCGCCCTAACTTGGGTCGCACAGAAGCTTAGGATTACTTGTTGGCCTATACCACATATCTCATAACCAGACTGGACCCCTTGAAGTACATATTCGAAAAACCGATGCCCACCGGAAGGCTAGCAAAATGGCAAATCCTGCTCACTGAGTTCGACATTGTTTATGTCACCCGCACGGCCATGAAAGCCCAAGCCTTGGCCGATCATTTAGCTGAGAACCCAGTGGATGATGCATACCAGCCTTTGAGTACTTACTTCCCGGACGAGGAAGTGAATTCAGTTGAAGTAATTCCAGAAGGCACCAATGCTTGGAAAATGTTCTTTGATGGAGCTGTAAATGCAAAAGGTGTCGGGATTGGGGCAATTTTGATTTCGCCCAATAGTCAGCACTATCCAGCCACAGCCCGGTTCCGGTTCCTCTGTACAAACAACACCGCTGAGTATGAAGCCTGCATTATGGGCATGAATATGACAGTTGACATGGATGTGGAAGAATTGCTAATCATGGGAGATTCTGACTTGATTATTCGGCAAGCTCAAGGTGAATGCGAAATTCGGGACATCAAGCTTATCCCATACAGGCAACATGTGGAAGATCTGAGTAAACGGTTCAAGTCTGTTGAATTCAGGTACATCCCTCGATTCCACAATGAGTTAGTTGATGCGCTAGCTACCTTGGCGGCAATGTTGCCATATCCGGGTAATGTCCATATTGACCCACTAGAGATCCAAATTCGAGAAAGACAAGGTTATTGCAATACAGTTGAAATAGAACCAGATATTCAGCCATGGTATCATGATATCAAAAGATTTTTGAAAACAAAGGAATACCCTGAGCAAGCCAATGGAGACCAAAAGAGAACCATTAAAAGACTAGCCAGCAGTGTCTTCTTGAGCGGAGAGGTCTTGTACAAAAGAACTCCAGATTTGAATCTTTTAAGGTGCGTAGATGCTCAAGAGGCTGGAAAGATCATGAACGAAGTGCATTCGGGAGTATGTGGACCCCACATGAACGGATATGTTCTTGCAAAGAAAATCCTTCGGGCGGGTTATTATTGGATGACCATGGAAAAGGATTGCTTCAGTTTTGTCTGCAAGTGCCATCAGTGTCAGATACACGGTGACCTGATTAATGCACCGCCTTTAGAGTTGCATCCTATGTCAGCACCATGGCCGTTCGTTGCCTGGGGTATGGATGTCATTGGGCCGATCGAGCCAAAAGCATCAAATGGGCACAGATTCATCCTGGTTGCCATTGATTATTTCACAAAATGGTTTGAAGCAGTCACTTTCAAAGCCGTTACCAAGAAAGCGGTGGTGGACTTCATGCATTCCAACATCATTTGTCGTTTTGGTATTCCTAAAACTATCATTACAGACAATGCTGCAAATCTGAATGGCCATTTGATGAGGGAGGTATGCGAACAATTCAGGATAACGCATCGTAACTCTACCCCTTATCGGCCCAAAGCTAATGGCGCTGTTGAAGCTGCAAACAAGAATATCAAGAAGATCCTCAGGAAAATGATTCAAAGTTCTAGACAATGG